GGTTTAGGGTTTAGAGTTTAGGCGGGGTTTCGGGCTTAGGGGATTAGGGGATTAGGGTTTAGGATTCAGAGATGAGCTCATTCAGATTCCTGGCACAGAGATTGGAGTAAAGCTAAGCCCCAAATTGCGCAAACTCTAAAGCCCTAAAGCCCGAATCCCAAAGCCATACAACCCTAAACCCTCAACCCAAAGGCCAAAGAGTTAGGGTACAACCCGATCTCGGCGGGTTTAGAAAGGTTCCATGCAGTGACATTGAATCAGGGTGAACTGATGCTGCACACTTTATTAGCATAATGTAGGGGCCTACATAGTTACCAACGCTGTTTTCGGGATTCCTTATTGTACTTCTAGAAAAATAATACACCAAAACCCGATGCCCCTAAAACCCGAAACCCTTACAGTAGCCCCTATAGAACCCTTTAAGGAACCCCTTTGAATGAACCCTATGGAAAGCCTCCTCTACTTGTGAAGTCCCCAAGATTCAGCCTTGTAGGCTTTGGAGGCCAGAGGATGGGTTTAGGGTTTAGGGTATAGGGTTTAGGGTTTAGGGTTTAGGTTTAGGATCCCTTGAAGGTCTCCTTTGCAGGTTATGTTTAGGGATTTTGGGGCTTCAGGGTTTAGGGTTTAAGGTTGTTTAGTGAGGTTTAGGGTTTTGGGGCTTCAGGGTTCTCGGTTTAGGGTTTAGGGGTTTAGGGGTTTAGGGTTTAGGGCTTAGGCTTTAGGGGTTTAGGGTTTAGGGTTTCGGGGGTTTACGGTTGAGGCTATTTGGAAGAGGGCTTTGGGACTTGTTTTTTCATTTAGTTATACTGAGGAAGTCTAAGGAATAATATGGTAATTATCCCGTCCCCTCTGTTAGTAGAGTTTTGGGTTTGGGGTTTGGGTTTTGCTGAGAGAGAAAGCAGGTAAGGTTGTGCCTCCAAGCAGGTCAAGCACACAAAGGATGAGGCGTACTATGGAATGGCCACGAACCATACCGCGGAGGCGTATCAACTGCTACTGTTGATGGATAAAATTCTGCACGACCCAAATATAGTATAGCACCATAAATCCCATAGTTTAGGTTTACAAGGTCATGCAGGATTTTGCCCATCAACCGTACGATTGGGGTTTGTTCAGGGTTTTGGGTCGAATAGAAGTGCTGCTATGCTGCCTCTATCGCTGCATGCCGTGGGACACCTCTAGGTCGTAATGTTCTTCGCATGAATCCTAGATGTGCAACACAACTTTTCTCAAACCCTGAACCCTAAACCGTGGCCTTTTCTGAAACCCTGAACCCCATGCGTTCGTGCAGACACTGAGATAGAGGTGCAAGGACTTGCTCGGTCGCTTTGCAAGCATACGCATGCACCGCTACCAACTACATACTACTACTGTTGATGGACAAAAATCCTGCATGACCCAAATATAGTATAGTACCATAAATCCCATGGTTTAGGTATATAAAGTCATGCAGGATTTTGTCCATCAACCGTAGTATACGGGTCTATTCAGGGTTTAGGGCTCCCATAAGAGCAAACGTAAGAGTAATCCTGGCACCCTCAACCCTGAACCTTAAACCCAACAGGAAAAAGCCAAAGAGCCAGCCACGAGCCCTGGACACTACCGAAGTCTCAAAACCCTAATCTAAACCCTGAACCCTAAACCCTAAACCCTAAACCCTAAACCCTAAACCCTAAACCTTAACCGTTTAGGGTTTAGGGTTTAGGGGTTATTGGGCCATCATAGCTAGAAATAGGCCAACAAGTAGTCGTCATCATTATGAAACCCTAAACTCTAAACCCCAAGCCCTTAAACCCTAAACCCAAAGCCTTAAGCCAGCTAAAGCCCAAACCTCCTAAGTCCTCCAGCCCTGTAGCCCTGAGCCCATGAAGCCCTTACCCCACGCCCCCTCCAAACGAAAAGCAACAAAGCAAAAGTAACTGTAATATGGGGGCCTTAATAATTAGAATAGGGTTCTGGGGCCTTTATTCTATCTTTAATAAGGACCCCCCCCCAAACCCTATTCTAATGATTAAGGCCCCTACATTACTCTAAAAACCCACGCCCCCAACTCTAAGCCCAAAGCCCTAAATAGCCCTAGCCCCAAACCCTAAACCCTAAACCCTAAACCCAAACCGTCTCAAGGCAACCCTTCTGGCCGCCGTGCCTCTTCCCGAGGCGGAGAAAGCCGCGGCTGCCATGCAGGCGCGATCTTCCTTCGGCTTTTGGGTAGTTCTCTAAATTAGGGTCCCTTCCAGGGTCCTTTTTATAAGGGTGCCGTACTATATTGGGGACCTAAAAAGGGACACTAGTTTAGAAAACTACCCATATCGTCAGGGCTGTTAGGGTTTGGGGGGTCCTTATACTAAGGATCCTACTATTTAGGGCACTATATTAGGGTCCCCTATTTTCGGAAACCCTCATATCGTCAGGGCTGTTAGGGTTCGGGGTTTGGGGCTTAGGGTTTAGGTTTTAGGGTTTGGGGCTTAGGGTTTAGGATTTGGGGCTTAGGGTTTAGGGTTTAAAAGGGCTAGAACATTGAGCCCAGGTTTTGTACTTTGCTTCGTCTGGATAAACTAACTTAGGTGTCTGCCTGGTTCTGCGTTCTTGGGTGTACTGTTCCATTAACGGCATTCTAAATGCACTGGTATCGCAAGAGATATTCTGACACGCGTGATGTGTGAAGCTGCGAGGCGTTGTATGTACAAGAACCCTTTACACGGCTAACCAGCTGAGCAGTCAGTTAGGTATATGAATGTGTTTCCCCGAGGGTCCATATACACTGCCATTATGGAATTCGGTCCCAAAAGACCATCCCTATTGTGGCTTGGGGGACCTAGTTCCATAATAGTAGTATATATGGACCCTCTGGTTTGTAGAGAGGAACGCAAGGCCCGCAACTAAAACTTTTAATTAAACCATTTAGGGTTCAGGGTTTAGGGTTCCCTTCCTCAAACCGAAGAGCAGAAAAAAAAGGGTACCCTTGTTATTAAGGGGCAACTAAGGTAGTATTATTAGGGGTACCAATTAAAGGGTACCCCTTCTGAACCCTACTTTTGGCTCTCTTAAAAGGGGCCTTATTGAGAGGGTCTATATCCCCAAGGGTCCCCCTAATCCTAGCTCCCACTGGAGAACCTCGACCAAGAACCTTCAAAGTGAACTCTAAGCCCGAAACTCTGAACTCCAACCCCCAAAGCCCTGAGCCCTAAACCCTAAACCCTAAACCCATATAAACCCTAAACTTTATAAACCCTAAAACCCTAAACCCCAAACCCCTAATATAGGGGCCTAAATAATTACCAATGCTTTATATATATGTATGTATATATAATATTATATATATGTATATTTATATGTTTTTTTGTTTTTGTTGGTGGGTCCTTATTATACTTATAGTATAATGGGCCCCAAAACCTTATTCTAAGTATTAAGGCCCGTACATTATAAACCCTAAAGCAGAGGCTAAACCTTAATATACGGGCCTTGATAATTAGGATAGGCTTTTTTGGGGGGGGGGGGTAGAATATACTATAACCACAATAAGGAACCACCAAAATAGTGTAGTTATTGAGGCCCCTACATTATCCTCAACCCTGAACTTGAAACCCAAGCCTCCAAACCGCAGTGCGTTCATCTCGAGCATCACGAAGCATGCGTGCAAGTGTAACATTGTAGTACCCGTCACAGTCCCGAGCATAGGGGCCGGAAATATAGAGTAATCCGGTTCCTTACGGTTCCATTTTTCCGTTCTGGTATCGTAGATCTCAACCCCCTATGGCCCTATTCCTTGGATACTGCCCCCACTCAGTAACAGTTGGATAATAATAATAATATTCATAATACAGATATATAAGGCCCTTATTAGTGGCCCTTTTATAGACTGTTACTGCATTGGGGCAGTACCCAACCTATTCCAATGATTCAGGCTCCCTACATTGGGATCATTCCTTCCGTCAGGCCTATCTGAGCTTCCCGACGACACCTTCTGCGAGCTCGACCTCGCGTCCTCCGTGGAAGCCTCCACCACTAGGACTCGTTTAGGGCCATTAGAGTTTGGGGTCTAGGGGTTTAGGGTTTAGGGTTTAAGGTTTAAGGGTTTAGGGTTTAGGGTTCAGGGTTTAGGGTTTAGGGTTTAGTCCTGTTCCGTAAAAAAACGGGGTCTAGATAATTGCCAGTACTCTTTTGGGGTTCCTTATTACATTTATTTATGCTACGACCCTATTCTAATTTATATTTAGACCCCTATATTAGACGGTTTTTCAGTAGGGTTTGTGGTTAGATTATGGTAGTGATCTTACGATTCTAAGGAACCCTAAGAGGAACACTGTTCAAAGTATCCTGTTTCAGGACCCTAAACCCTAAACCCTGTAAGTTGTAAGACCCCCACGAACCCCCTAAGCCCTATACACTAAAAGCCCAAAGCAAAAAAATATTCTGTTTCAGGAGGGTCTCTGGGGTTGCAGCCAGCAGGCTTCCCTTGAAAAACCTTGTGAGGAAGCTTGGGAATGGTGCTTCTGCGCTGCTTGGCGGGCAAACCTATGAGTTTAGGGTTTAGGGCTCTATGTTCAGAAGGACCCTTAAAAGGGGGGGGGGGGAGGGGGCTTTCGTACCTGCAATAAGGACCTAATAAGGCCTACCCAAGGAAGTATGGTCCCCTCCCCCATTGCCCTTGTGTTGGGCTGCCTATGATATGTTGATGTCGCTGAGCTAAGGTTACGACTGGTGCAAAGAAGCATCATTGAGAGCCTCGAGAAAGTCTTCCCCTAAATCCTGAACCAACCCCAAACCCTCAACCCCAAACCCAAACCCAAACCCCAGATCCTAAACCCTAAACCCTAAAACCGGATCCTCGCCGCGTATCGCAGAAGACCCCTCTAGACTTTAAGGCTACAGGTGTAGGGTTTAGGGGTTAGGCTTTGGCCTTGATAATTACCTATTTTTTTTTTTGAGGGTGGGTTCCTTATAATATTTCTAGTATAATATGCCTAAGCTAAGCCTATTCTAATTGTTAAGGCCTCTGCATTAGGCTTTACGGTGACCCTAAACCCTAAACCCTAAACCCTAAACCCTAAACCCTAAACCCTAAACCAAAACCCTAAACCCTAAACCCTAAACCCTAAACCCTAAACCCTATGTTCCCAAACTAAGTGCAACTCGGGCTTTCGGGCCCTGACCCCAATCCCTTCCACTGCAAGCCCCCGAAGCTGAAAGCCCTAAACCC